AATTTTGTGTTTATTTCATCTAAACATATAGGTGTATGTGTGTATATATGTAAGCATGCAAATTCCTTTCATTAGAAAGTATTGCTACCAAACACACAAAGTTCTAATTGTAGCAAAGGGTAAAGAGACATCACAAAAGTAAATCACATAGAATGCAGTGGAGTTACTGGGTGTTCATTAATGAACATATTTTGTTGCAAACATGACCAAGAAGACATCCCATGAAAAACATCTTTCATCAGACACCTCAAAGAACTGGGACTCTTATTATGAGTTTCTGTACCCTAGAAGTAATATCAAAATCTAGGCTATAAGTCTAATAGCCAAACTGCAATTAAGAGACATAATGTAAATGACCATTCTCCTACTATATCACTGGCAAGAAACAGTAAGTTAGACCCATGTACTTACTCTACCATCTACAGAGTCTCAGTCCTAACATCTCATAACTTAGCATCTCATAATTGAAATAAGTTTTTATAATTAGAACATTTTTTAAAACCCCAAAAGCAAGAAAAATCATAGGTGAGTCAACATTAGTACATACCCTGTTTTTGTTTTGTTTTTTTAAAAAAAATCAAGTTACATCATAAGCTAAATTTCTATATGAAAAATACCAAATGATCAATCACTACAAATGCAAAAATGCAAAAGGCATAAAGTATCTATACAATGTCTATAGAATGCAGAATAAACAAGTTTTCTAGACATGGGCAAAATACATCCAGCGTCCTTGCTATAATATAGCACAGGAGGCCTCTAGTCCAATTCCTGATAGAGTCCTCTTTTCTATTTGAAATCTCATGAGCCAGGACATCAGTTTCTTTCATTTCAGCATTCTGGCCTTCCATACCACCATTCTTTCAGCTCTGCTAATAGCAGCCATGTCCAACCTTCAGCCTCCAAGCTACACATATCCCAGCATAGCTATGAATATAGCTAGGCAAGATTTTTAGATGATAGCTTCACATTAATATCAACAGGTTAGGTATCTGTGGCTTATAGCACTCAGGGGTTTTCCCTAGCCCATAGGTCCAAACTCTTCCAAATTCTTTCTACAAAACAGTTCCAAGGGCCTACAAGACACATGGTCAGGTAGTCACAACGAACATTTCTAGCAATTTTCTCTTTCTCAAGGCTATAACAAAATGTCTGACAAATGCAACTTAAAGAAAGTCTTATTTTGGCTCACAGAAGGGATACAGTCAGTCACAATGGTGAGGTCATAATAGTAGCTAGTCACACTGATCCACCACCAGAAAGCAGATACAGATGAATACTGGTGTTCATGTTTCCTTCCTTCTTTGCGTTAAGTTTGGGACACTATCCTATAGGAGGGTGCTACCCGAATTTAGGTGGGTCCTCCCTCCTCAGTTAAAGGTCTTTGGAAACACCCTCTAAATCCAGTCCTATTGACAATGAAGATCCACCATCATGATCGGTTAATACAACTTTAGTGAATATGAATTATTTTGTTCTCATTCTAAGCTTTGTCCCACACTAAATTCCTCCTCCAATAACTGGCAGATGACAGCGTCTCTTAAATGACATGGAAATAGAAACTCATCATTGATTTATTCCTTCACTCTCCCCTATAAAAAGTAACATGCCGTCGATCTTCTCTTCTTACCATAAAGGCAATGACAATGTCTTTTTTAAAGCCCAAACTATACATATTTTCCATTGTAAAAGGCAAACAAACATTCTTCTCTGTCCTCAGAACTTAAAAGTCCAAAAAATAAAAAAATAAAAAAAAGTTATAGGGAAAGGGTAACACTCAAAAACAATTGGAAGTGGTGTCATAAAAACAAATTAAACAAATGGATTTCAACTACAAGATGACAATTAATATAAGACCTGAGAAAATGCAAGAGACAGTGCTCTCAAGAATCTGTACGCCAGAACAGGGCCCTGAGACCACTGTGTGTACACTGGTGTGAGCAGAGGCTAAAAGCAAGAGAAAGTAAGATCTGAGAGTCTAGAGGAGTAAGTATATTAAAAAGTCTAGAGGGTCACTGGAGGTTAAATTTTACTGCGTGATTACATAAAGATACCGGAGAATGTTTTTGTTTTTGTTTTAAGATAGACCCAGGAAAGCAGAAGCTACTGAAATTGTATGTCAATGGTTTTGATTAGACAAGAGATGTCAGTGGTTTTGATTATTGTAGCAAGTGGAGATAAGAACATATTTTGAATGCAGAGTTGACTTGTAAAGTTGACACTGGGAATGTGAGAAGAGAAAGATGACTCTGGCTGGGAACCCTAGAAACTAACTAAATCATGCTACCATTTGTTAAGAGGAAGCTTGGGAATGTGGAAAAAAAAAACATGACTTCAATTAAGAACATATTAAGACAACTATTAGATAGTCAAATGGAGGGGGTCCTACAAAGCTTTGCGAGGGATGTTAAAAGTAAAAGGTACAAGGCTGACAAATTGATATCTTATAAAGTGAATGCTGTGGCGACGGGAGTTTGGTTGATTTGGTTTGGCTTGCCTTGGTTTGGTTCAGTGACAATGTCTTTCTTGCTTTGATGGCCTTGAATTGCCTCAAACTTACAAACCTGCCCCAGCCTTCTGAGTACAGAGATTAGAGGCATGTATCACCACACCTGACTGGACAAGGACTTTTTTTAATTTTTATTTTTTATATTAATTACAGTTTATTCATTTTGTATCCCAGCTGTAGTCCCTCCCTCATTCTCTCCAAATTCTACACTCCCTCCCTCATTTCCTCCCATGCCCCTCTCCAAGTCCACTGATAGGCGAGATCCTCCTCCCCTTCCATCACTATCAAGTCTCATCAGGACTGGTTGGATTGTCTTCCTCTGTGGCCTGGTAAGACTGCTCCCCACTCAGGGGAAGGTGATCAAAGAGCCAGCCACTGAGTTCATGTCAGAGAACTCAGTTCCTCATACTAGGACACCCACTTAGATGCTGAGCTGCTTATAGGCTACATCTGAGCAGGGGTTCTAGGTTATCTCCATGCATGGCCCTTAGTTGGAATATCAGTTTCAGAAAAGACCCCTGGGCCCAGATTTCTTGGTTTGGTTGTTCTCCTTGTAGAGCTCCTTTCCGTTCCAGTGCTTTCTATCTCCCCCTTCTTTCATAAGATTCCCTGCACTCTGCCCAAAGTTTGGTTATGAGCCTCAGCATCTACTTTGATATACTGCTGGATAGAGTCTTTCAGAGGCCCTCTGTGGTAGGCTCCTGTCCTGTTTCCTGTTTTCTCCCTCTTCCAATGTCTGTCCCGTTTGCCTTTCTGAATGAGGACTGATCATCTTACCCAGGGTCCTCCTCCTTGCTTCTTTAGGTGTACAGATTTTAGTATGTTTATCCTATATTGTATGTCTAATATCCACTTATAAGTGAGTATATTCCATGTGTGTCTTTCTGCTTCTGGGATGCCTCACTCAGGATGATCTTTTCTAGATCCCACCATTGGACAAGGACTTTTTGCTTAAAGGAATAACTAACCAACATATTAGAACCTATGGTATAAGGTAGATGGTATAAGGATTAGAACCTATGGTATAAGCATCAACCAATATCCCAGGTTCACTTCCTCCATCTTTCAGGAAGAATTTCTGTCTTTTTCACAAAGGTGTTACAAAGAACACAATGCAATAGGGACTCAAAAATATATTTGAATTGAAAATAAAAAAATTCATAAAATGGGATAGGCCAATTTCTCAGTGACATAGCACTTGCTTTAAATGAGTCCCCAGGAATGTACACCCACTAACAAGACATACAACTTGTTAGCTAATGATGAGCAATTAACATTAACTTACAGATATCAGAGTCCTCTCCTACACAAACATGGGAGAATCATATATGTTTTTGTCCTTAGTCTCAGCCTAAATTTCTACTCAATGTGCTTTCATACATATTACTGTCTTTTTAAAAACATTTGTTCTAAAAAACTGATTATTTACAAAAAGTATATCAAAAATATGCTGCACCCAAAACACACAGCAGCTATACTGGCAAATGTCGCATCAAACTCACTTTTCCAACAGTAAAAAATACTGTTTTTACATAAAACTCAGTGACTTAATTTGGTGTTTTTCAAGTATGTGGGAAATCTGGCCATCACTTGACAATCCTAATAGTAAGTGCTACGGCATTAAACAAGAATATTTTTTAAATGAGAGGATATTTTTAAACATTACAATACTCCTCTAGTCTTGAATCGTGTTTTAGAGATGGTCTTATGAGAAAGCTAGTATTAAGCATTCAACCAAATGTCTGACGTAGTTAAAGCAGTCTGTGGGGCTTATAGCAATGGATGTGTATAAAGAACTGATGGATTTGGGCTTTATAAAAGGTCTTTCCTGCAAAAACTAACATTTTCGTTGCTTTGGTTTTTTTTTTTTTTTATCCACAATCACCTTACAAGGCCAGAACTTTCCCACCACTGATGAGGAAACTAAAAATACTGGTTAAAGGTCTCAGGTCTAATTGTATTAATTTCTTTTTTTAATGTAAGGCTTTAGGCTAGAAAGCTGGCTTAGTGGTTAAGAGAACCTCTTCCAGAGGCCCCAAATTCAGTTCAGGTTCAGGTAACTCTAGTTCCAGGAAGATCCAACAACCCTGCCCTCTGCCAGTACCCACAAAGACATGTAAGTATATTCATAATTCAAATAAATCTTTTTCAAAGAGAAAAGTAGCTGACAACTATATATAGACTCTTATCTTAATAAAAATCATCAATTTTTAGTGCCTATATTTTTCATTTGTAATAGATGCCTATCTTGTGATACTCTGAAATAATACAAAATTATTAGAGTTACAATCATTGCAGTCAGGGGTTGACACTGTTATCTCAAAGACTAGTAAATTTAAATGCTTTGTTCAAATAATAAAACTCCAGGCAATGGCTAAACAGAAGGCAAAGACTTAACTATGTAAACTGGTGGGAGGGGACCACAGATATGAGCAGGCTTCAAACCATAGTTTGAAAATCACTAATTTCATCCAAATCCCTCATTTTTCAGGTGAGGAAACTACAGCCCAGAGGGGTTTCTTGAACTACCAAGGATACACCACTATTTAGTGACACAACCTGGGACTAAAACTGAGGTCCCCCTGACTCCTGGTCCAGAATCCTTTCTACTATACAACGAGGAACACACAAATAAAAGTGGATCATAATTAACTCACCAGAACTCCACAAGGTGTCTGTCACAGTGAACTTTGTTGGGAACTATCTGCTTATGTCCACCCACAGTGTAGCAGGAAAGAGCTGAGCTCCACAGCTCAAACACAGGCTCTAAGGCTTATCATGTGACCTTGGGCAAGAAACTTAAAATCTTCTCTCCTAGGGTTCATGAAATAATGATTAAGACCTGATACACAGAAAGCGCTCAGTACCTGTGATACATGATAATGAACATAAGCAAAGGCTCAGCTCTTTAAAAACATGTCAGGGTTCTCATTAAGCAAGCTCAAAGAAGGAAGGTCATGAGTTGGGTAGTGTTTTCAAGACTAACCTAGCAGGATCGCATGAGACATACGGGGTTTGGTGGCAAAGCTGATGACATTTTAAAAAAGCAAACTGAACAGTTCATCCTCTTCAAATATGCATTCAGTTAACACAATAATGCAATGGATGAATTCTTTCTCATAACATGTGAACTATAAGCAAAATTACTTAACATTCTAATACATGAAAAGCATATTTCTGATTGATTTACTATCTGATGTCACAAAAAAAATCAATTTCAACAGGAATATTCAATCTTCTGGAATGATGGAATGTACTGGAATATCTGTAGTCCCTTACACCAAAAGATTTTTTTTCTTCCCTAAAGAGAAGGAACAATCTCACTACCTATGATTTCTAAACAATTTAAAAAGTTAAATTACTTGACTAAAGTGGCCAAGTCACTCTCTGGCTTTATTCCAGTAAACACAACAACCTGGACTTTGAACAAGTGTATTCTGAAGCCGGCATATGGCTAATCACTCCAAGATTGTGTTAAGAATTTTGGCAAGCCTAAAAAGTGTGGCCATGTTAGCTCGGTTCAAACTGGAACATTTTCGGTAGTATGAAAAGGGCTCTAGAAGAAAGCAAGCATGCTGCAACATAGAGATCCCAGAAAAATTCAGATAGTCTACTTAAGACCAGCTCAGCATAATTTGCATGTCATGAACTACTGCATATGATGTAGCTCAAAAGCTTTAAGCAGCTATTCCAGAACCAGCTTGTTATCGTCAGCCTTGAGGCCAAGGGCAACATTTTACAAATATCAAGCCAGAGTTCAGGGTGCTATCTACCAGGGCAGTTTTGTTTTGTTTTGTTTTTTTCTTCTTAGGGTTTATTTTCAAAGACTGGGTGCATACTGGCTTAGTGGCAGAGCACACACTTAGTGTATGGGAGGGCCTGGGTTCAATCCCCAGCACAGAAAGGGAGGGAGGGAAGGAAGGAAGGAGGGAGGGAGGGAGGGAAGGAAGGAGGGAGGGAGGGAGGGAGGGAAGGAGGGAGGGAGGGAGGGAGGGAGGGAAGGAAGGAAGGAAGGAGGGAGGGAGGGACGGAGGGAGGGAGGGAGGGAGGGAGGGAGGGAGGGAGGGAAGGAAGGAAGGAAGGAAGGAAAAATAGGGAGGGAGGGGAAAAGTTTTATTTTCAAGATTTACAAACTCAGTTGAAAAAACAGGCATATTTCAAAGACAAGCAATCTCATAACACATTTATTACCAAATTTTACTTTTTCTCTTCAGAAGTTCGAATATGGATACTAAAATGACTTCTAAGATTGCTCAAACGTTACTTCTATAAATTAGTAAACTGCTTTATTATTAAAAGTTTAAGGGGGAATCACCACCTTTTAAATGGGGAGAAACCCACAGCAATAAAAAGAGTTGAAAGTTTTCACTAAGAACTAACCAACTGATAAACGACAATGGAGACCCACAGATGATTAAAGACAGCTCTAGTTAGCACTGCTGTCTTTCCAACTGAATCTGGCATTGGCTTTAGAACCAAGGCGTGAGAGTATCTTACTTTAATTTGCCAAGCTGTAAACATATGCTAATAGACCCATGCTTTGAATGAAAGGCATTATTTGGACATAATTATGATTCCTTAAAGCATAAATATTTCAAAAGCTGGCCTCTCTGATTTAAAACTTAACCAAACCAAAAACTGTAACCAGCTCTCAGTTGTTCAGACCTGTGTGGTCCCACGCAATAACCACCCACCGTTCGCGGGTGTATGTGCGTGTGTGTGTGTGTGTGTGTGTGTGTGTGTGTGTGTGTATACTTGCAATTAGTTTGCTAAGCAATTAAAAATCAAGCTCATCAGTAACACCTGCTGCATTTCAAGTGCTCAAAAGCCACCTGCCCCTGGAGGCTACCATATTGGTAGCCCCACAGTATATAACACTTCCAACTTGACAGAAAGTTCCATTGGGTAGTGCAGAAGAGGATGCGGGGTGGGGGTGCCAGGGGCCACTTAAATCAGCATGATGGTACCTTCCGGTTTTGCCAAGTATTAGCTAGAGACTGTCCCTTAGTCAAATTCTCTGGAACACGCAGAAATTCAACCAATCATTTCTTCCTTCAAGTAAATCTCTTAACCGTGATCATCTGCTCTTCGTTGGGGCGGAGGGGGGGGGGGTGAAGAAAATACTGAGAACCCAGGTCTTCTTCTAACGCGTTTCTTTCTGAGTTTATACTAACTCCTGGAACACGATGCTAGTTTATCCGGGTGTACAGAAACAACACGGCTAACTGGGATCCTGTCTGAACGTCAAAGATATTCCACTATCCCTGTAACTATCATTGGTCGCATCGACTGTCCTGACCTTCCACTGAGAAGGCAAGATGACAATTATCTTAACTTGGCGCTCAAATGTAGTCAGTCACAGCTGAGAACTCTGCCGGCGCTGACGTACCACGCTTTTAGCACACCTATACGCTCCCATAAACCTTGAGTTTTGAGCTAGGCTCTGATGATCCCCACTTACACCCCCAGATCACTAGCCAGCAAAACCGTTTCTTTCTCCAGGGGCCTCAGAGGCGGGCGGTGACCACAGCACCGCCGTGTTCTCTGTCCCTCTCCCTTCCACTCCTGCTACCTAACTTCCAGGAGAGCAGAGCTTTCCACCTTGAAGGGCTGCCCTCCCCATCGCAACCTGGGTGACACGCGGAAGGTGCCTCTCCGCCTAGCCCCGAGGCTCCCTTCGCCCCACGCCCACCAACGACGGGGAGGAGCCACGGCGCACCCCACGCTCGGCGGCCTGCCGCGAGCTGGGCCCGCCGCCCCGGGCCAGACCTTTGGCCGCCACGTCCCTGGCACTCCCCAGGACCTCGCCCCGCTCCCCGCCGCCCCCACGCGCCCCACAACCTCTGCTTAAGACACGTGGAGGCACGGCTGCGCGTCCCGCGTGGAGACTGAGAGGGGACAGAGATGGCGCGGTGTCTGCGGCGGCGGCGGCCCCGGGACACGAAGGGCGGGGAGGTGGGGGTGGGGAGGAGAGTTGGGGGCCAGAGGCTGTAGAAAGGGAAAAGGTGACTGAGCTAGGCTGGGGGAGGGGGCGCCGCAAGATGGCGAGAACGCCACTATGAGGGGCGGGGCGGGGGTAGCGAAGCCTGAGGAAACTAGACGGACGGGCCGACCCACGCGGCGAGAGCGCATGCGCGCCGGCTAGGGGGCGCCCGCGGCCGCGGCGCGGCTCCCGCTACTTCCGCCACACTCCAGGGGCGGGGCGTCGCGTTCCCGCCACAGCGGAGGGAGCCGCGCGCAGCCACGCGGCGGAGCCGCAGAGCGGGAGTAACCGAGTGGCAGGTCGGGCTGCGGGATCGGATCGGGGATGCCGCGTGTAGACTCTGCAGTGTGTAGAGCCTGAGGATGTTTTTTTAAGGAGTCGGTGAGCTGCACTGGAGCTTTGTCGGTGCAAAAGTTTGTCATTGCAAGGTTCTCATCAGGGGGCGGGTGGCCAGGATTGTTTCCAGTGACACAAGGGGTGCAGAGTTCTGAAGAAACGCGCCTCGTAGAAGCGCTGTGGGACCGTTGTGGTACCTTGAAACACCAGCTTCATTCCATGCCACCTACACCTACCCGCACTTGCTCAAAGTCAAAAGCCAGTGACAACTGATTCCCAAAGTTTTTTCCCCAGTTCGTTTCTACTAAACTGCCGTGAAGACAGGAGACAGACTATCCAAAGAAATTAAATTCCATGCAGTTCATTTTAATTAAAATTTTGCTGAATTATTGTCACTGCACAGGCGTTCCACCTCCAGAGACAAAGACTAGATTTGGCTTACAAAGTATAACTGTCAGATTCTTAAGAAAGTCTGGGGCAAATGGCTCTCTGTGGTGCCTGTTTAATTTGCCAAAGCACGCGCTGGCCTCCAGGCATCCTCACTTATCACAAGTACCCGTTCTCACCCTGCCCCCTACCCTAAACCTCTCGAGCTCATGGGCTTCCCTTCTCAAGCTTCCCTTATAACTCTACTGTTAGAGCTGTGCACTCTCCTGGCCTCTCTCTCTCATACACCCTCTTAGTCTTCCTTTTTCTCTCCCTGTCTCTCCTCTCACAGCAGGGTCCAGTCTGCTAACCATGTTCCTTCTGGGGCTTTCTTTCCCTGTTCTGGACTCTTCCAGATGCCTCCGGCTGTATTCCCCTTCATCCCTACCATAAAATCCTTCCTATCAGCTATACAGTGTCCTCAGTTTATACAATAACAACGCTGAAACAGCGGAGCGCCTGCTAAAAGTGGAAGCTTTGGAAACCACCAGCTCCCAGAAAAAGAAATGGTTTCCAAAGTAGATGGGGAAACACAACCAGAGTGAAAGTCACACCACCACTAAAAATAAAAATAAAACAGCAAAACACCCCAACTCTTCCTGTCATTAAAGGAAGATGGAGCTCGGAATGTCTAAAGGCCCATTTCTTTGTAATGATTACATTAAATGACCAAAAAAGCCCTTATTCTAGAGAGGACAGCAGGGAACATTCCTATGAGAAAACCACTTCTTCACAGGGATGGTTCACTTCAACTGACCTGCAAATCCTTGCCCTTGTAATCCATGAATTTTAATTTGTTACGACAGTTATGAGAGTCTTGCTGGAGAAATGGAATACAGAAGAATTGTAATCCAGA